TAGACTCCAAGCGCTCCTATCCACCGCGAAATCCTTGGAGATATTTCAATCTTTAAAGTCTCTCTTAACCGACTCTTCCCAAGTGAGTTTAGACCGACCTCTACCTCTCTTTACATTCGACCCGCTGTAAAACTCCCCTACGCACCGGTATATCAGGAGGCCTCCGTTAGACATGTCCGAACGACCTTAGCCGATGTTGAACCAATTTCTCCTCAATTGGATCCACCCCGACCCTATCTCGAATCTCCTCATTCCGAATTTTATTCCTTCTTCTGTACCCGCAAAACCAACGCAACATATGCATCTCTGCTAACTTAGTTGTTGGACATGTTGCCTTTTTGTAGGCCAACATTCAGCACCTTATAGCATCGCCGGGCGAATCGCCGTCCTATAGAACTTATTTTTTAGCCTTTGTGGCACCCTCTTATCACAGAGAACGCCTGAAGCTTGACGTCATTTCAACCAACCAGCTGCAATTCTATGCCTAACGTCTTCATCAATGCCGCCATCCTTTTGTGGCATCGATCCTAAATACCGAAAAGTCTTCTTCTTGGCCAACTTGTCCGTTAAGGCTAACATCACCATCATCATGTGTAGCCATGCTGAAAGCGCACGTCGTGTACTCGGTCTTCGTCCTACTAAGTCTGAAGCCTATCGACTCTAACATGTCCTTCCACAGCTCTAACTTCCTATTTATCCCTGCTCTACTCTCGTCAACTAGCACCACATCATCAGCAAGAGCATACACCAAAGGATATCACCTTGTATGTCCTTTGTGGCCTCATCCATCACCAATTCAAATAAATATCTGGTGTAGTCCTATTTTAATTGGGAAGTCGCTGGTATCGCCCCCCACATGTTCGGACACACGTCATCGCATCCTTGTACATATCCTTGAAGAGGGTAATGTACTTAGATGAGACTTTGTGCTTTTCTAAAGCCCACCACTTGACATTCATCAGTACTCTGTCATAGGCCTTCTCAAGGTCGATAAAGACCATGTGCAAGACTAACTTAGATAATGAAAGGCCCATCACATGACATTCTTCGGTACTCTTTCTGGGGGTTCTACTACTGGGTAGTGAGTTTCGGATAATGTGTATGTCCAGGAAGCAAAGAAACTTCTTCTCTTTGCAGGGACGAAATTCGTTTCAGTTATGTCCGGTCTTACCAAACAAGATTGACTTCTGACCAACTCTAAACAAGACTAACTTAGATAATGAAAGTTTGTCAACCAAATTTTTCATGCAACTTGTATTACCATTATTTTTAAATACTAATATTTTTAAATTTGTTTCTCAACTTTTAATAAGCTTGACACAATGCACCATGTAATGTACTCTTTTGTTTGATTCATTGAAAATAATAATGCAAAACCTTAAACCGGCCATAAAACATATGACATAAAATATAATTTAAAATTACGTTAAAATATAAATTAGGTATCACGTGCATCGCACGTGCACCTTACTAGTTTATTAAAAAACATGAGGAAGTCCAATTGTACCAGCTTCACGTGTATAACAATTAATTAATACATGAGTATTTATTAGGACAACATATATAGAGACTAATTGTTTATTCCATGCCAATGAATATATATAAGCTAGCTTAGTTAGGCTATTTATTACAAGCTAGCTATATATATATATATATTGTCCATTAATTAATTAATGAAGCCTTTGGAAAAAACTCTTGACTCCTTCATAAGTAGACCAGATGATAGCAGCAGCCGGTGCGTGAAACAACATCCTCGGAGCCCATCCGCGCATCACCCCACTGTACCCATCTCTCTTCTTTATCGTCCCAATCACATCCACAATCGACGAGCTACTCGACAATCGATCACACCCACAAACACCCTGCATACATATATATATGTAATCACTCTCAACACAAATTTTTACAGATCAGATAAAATTCTACGAATTAATTCTTCAAAGGCCAACTATATATGGTCGTATTAGATTATGCATGTAGGCAACAATTCAGGGTCCCATTGGAGAGTGACATATAGCATTTTAGTTCTTGTAATCTAATATTTTACTGCCTTTGAGACTGGAGTGACATAACAATTTAAGTCTAGCAATTTTTAGTCCCAAAGTTTTAGTTTTTCGCCTTTTGGTCATGTGATCTTAATATTTTTCAGTTTTAGTTCTTTGAGGATTGAAATTAGAATAAAATTTTAAATTACTGGAATTTAATTACTAGCTGAAATTTGAGAGTTTGTGAATCTGTTGCAATTCCAGTCCTCAAACGACATGGATTACAACAAAATATTAAATCTCAGGACCATACAGGTGAAATGTTAGAATTAACCATTGTACTAAAATTGTTATCAAGCTAACACTAAAAAATACAATTTTGCTTGTAATATTTTTTTTAAATTAAAGGACATAAATAGTTATATGTCACTCCAGTAGGACTTGAATTGCTGCTACCTTCACAATGACCAAAATTGCATTTTACCGGCCTTAAAATTTTACACACGATAAGCTCTCGCCAGCACAAAGTCTTACCTGACACTGCAGTTGAGTCTTGACGACGTCAAGCGGAGTCGTGACAACAGCCGCCAACCCGCCTGCAGCCGCTCCAGCCGTCGCGTGCACCAACAAAGTCTCCTCCCCCTCCTCGTCGTCTTTTTCCGACGAGGCCGCTGGCGGGCCCATCATCATCAACCCTCTCTTCGCAACCTCGTAGGTCGCAAAGTGAACGGCCATGAAAGGCGCGTTCATCAAAACCGTCGTTTTATAGCTCGCGTAGAAAGCCCGAATACCTTCTTCCCGAAATACCCTCCCCACACAATCCCACACGCCTTTATACGGGCTTCCCTCGAGCTGCAGCCTCTGCTTCACCACGTCCATCGGCGTAAGCACCGCATCACTCGAGACGGTGGCCACAACCCCCGAGGCCGCGTGGGCCACGGAGCTATTCGGGTCACCTCTCGAAAGAATCTTTTTGGCGGACTCGTACACGGAGAAGTGGACGGCGTGGGCCGGGCCGGCACCAAGGCCCATTGCAGCAATACCGCGGTACAAGCTTAATGGGCCTCGGAGCCTCATGATGGACTGTGCGAGTGTTGTCGGTGGTTGAGCTCGGGAGGAAGAGTTAGCGGCGGCGACTTGCATGCGGGTTTTGAGAGTGTCGATTGGGAACATGGCCATGTGCTCTGCTGACCCGGCTAGCGAGCCCGCGACCATGAATTGCCAGAATTCGAGGCCGTCCTGAGGTTGGGCTACCATATTATTTTAAAAAATTGGTTGCTTAAAGCTGAGGGAGAATGAGGAACAGAGTACTTAATTTATCTGAGTCTTGAGATATATGCATTAATTTGCTTTATAGTTTATAATTAATTCCATGCTTTTTGACAACACGTGAGCTTATATTATATGATGAAGCAAGCACATGATGTGACATTTATTTATAGGATGGAAGAAAACATAAGAGTAAAGAAGAATGGTAGCCGCTGAATTTCTATCTCTCGTTTAATTTGTACGTGGAATCAAGAGACGGGACATAGGGAAAAGGTTAAGGAGAGTTGGGGACAAACAGTGGATAGTTAGTTTTTGCTTTGCTTTTTTAAAGTAGTAATAGAGACGAGAGATCATAGCACGTTTTCATTTTTATTTTGTTGTGATATCAATATCAAGGGTTGTATTCAAGACAGTGATTTTTTTTTTTTTTTTTTCCTTCATACAATTTTTATATTTTATATTCTTCACTTTTCCTTCTTTAAGATGTCGTATATTGTATAAAATTGGAATAATGGTTCAAAACGACATTGCATTTAGAAACGAAAAATGCAAGCTAAAACAACATTCAATATTGCGAAAAAATATGCTACCTAAAACGACATTTAATACTGATCGATCATCACATACAGAACCAGTAGTACTACTGTTGTTAATCATAGTTTGACATATCGTTCGAGACGTTTTCTGTATGATTTTATCTCCATTTTTCACACTCGAAAAAGCATACATCGAACGTTTGGCAGCCATAGGAGCCTTGAAGCATCTAGCTTCTTTGAAAGGAGCCCATGCACATTTTACACACCAAAGTTGATTTGACTGCAAATTATTTAAAAGATGAATCTTTTTCATTTTCGTTTTAGAATAAAATGTTGATGGTGCGACAAACAACAAATCCACTTTATCAACTCCAACAAAAGATGGTCCATTCTTTTGGGAAATTTCCAACTAATCGGTCATTTTCGCAATTTAGAGGGATTCTTATGCTGAAAGTTCAATAAATAAAGTAAAAAATCTTTATTTTTCAACCTGCACGAGTCGAGCTCCCGAACGATTCATCTGGAGCAAAAAACTACGCAAATAAGAACTCGAGACAAAGGCTTAAAAATCCATTCACGTCGCGTTATTCAAATCATTGCTTTAACAAAATACATATAAGGGTGAAAAGTGCACATATATTATTGGAGGCTAACTAGTCGTGAACAATAGAGTGAATCAAAATAGAAGCCTCGTCGGTGGCCGGTGCTTCCGCATCTGTTCCACACACACACACACA